ACCCAAACAACACATTCTTAATAAGAAAATTCTTTTTAAGAAAAATTTCTTGATTTGAGAAATTATTTTCTTAAAATAAGAAATTATTTTCTTATTTTAAGAAAATTTTCTTATTTCAAGAATATTTTTTCTTGGGAGAATAACAAGAAAATTTTCTTAATAAGAAAATTCTTTTTAAGAAAAGTTTCTTGTTTTGAGAAATTCTTTTCTTAAAATAAGAAATTATTTTCTTATTTTAAGAAAATTTTCTTATTTCAAGAATTTTTTTTCTTGGGAGAATAACAAGAAAATTTTCTTAATAAGAAAATTCTTTTTAAGAAAAATTTCTTGTTTTGAGAAAAATCATTTTCTTAAAATAAGAAATTATTTTCTTATTTTAAGAGAATTTTCTTATTTCAAGAAAACTTTTTTCTTGGGACAATAACAAGAAAATTTTCTTATTAAGAAAAAAAATGTCTTGATTTGAGAAAATATTTTCTTAAAATAAGAAAATATTTTCTCAATTTAAGAATTTTCTCTCAAGAAAATTTTCTTAATAAGAAAATTTTCTTAAGAAAATTTTTCTTATTAAGAAAATTTTCTTGTTATTCTCCCAAGAAAATATTTTCTTATTTCAAGAAAATTTTCTTAAAACAAGTTGTTTTTTTCTTAAAATAAGAAAATGATTTTTTGCTGTGACGTCAGTGACGAACCAAGCCATTTGTCGATCAGAACTAGCTTTGCAATAACGGCAACCGCTACTAAACACGCGATAAAGTCTCGAATTTCGATTTGTATTTATATGAACTGTGGTCACTGTATAAAAACGAGTGTATGAGAACCCTTCATTTGATAATATTCACTGTAAATGGAACTAAATACATTGTAAACACAACGCTCGCTCCGACCTTACTACGAATGGCGGCTATTTTTAGATATTTCGTATTTTTGTAGTGCGTTGCGTGCGTTGAGTACGGTGCACCTGTGGAAGTGCACACTTGTGTCGCCTAAGAAAAAAGATCTGACATTTTAATACTCCGGTACTTACAGTACCCGGAGTAATAAAAACAAAAGGGGACCAAGGTTCGATCCCTGGGGAACGCCACAACGTATTTTCCTAGTAGACGATGTTGCACTGTTCACCCTGCAGTATTGCGTTCTGTTATGCAAATAAGATTTAAACCAATCTAAGACCTTATTTTGGATTCCATAGATAGATAATTTACTTAGGAGAATTCCGTGATCAACTGTATCAAATGCTTTACTAAGTCCAGAAAAAGTACTCCGTTTATCACCCCAGCATCCATGTTAAGTAACCATGAATCCGTATTTGCCAAAAGGGCTGATGCGGTGGAATAATTTTTACGGAAACAAGACTGACACGAGCTCAGAATATTATTTTCAGTTAAAAAGGAATTGAGCTGTGCACAGACAAGTTTCTCAAATAATTTAGCAATAATCGAAAGAATTTTTCAATCGATTTCAGTGTAAAAAAGTAGCAAATTTTCGACGAGAAATTCCAAATACTTTGTTTATATTTTGCAACAATTGCCAAGCATGCGTAGAACTCGCGTTGGAAATCCAACGTACTATCTGCCGTTAGTCAATCACAGACCTCAATCAATTCGATTTCTCCACAGCTATGCCCACCCTTAACCTGCGAACGGGCATGCTCGGGGAACGAGATTGAATTGCGATGGGTTTAATTGGGGCGAGCCTGGGCGAGCCCCACAGTTTGGTCACAGGTTTGGCTCATCGAGCTCAAGCGCAATGCATTGTGGTGCGTTGTATGTTCGTACACGGAACTTTTCCTACAGTGATTTAAATCCTACCGGCCTTTCGCCTCGCACCGGCTATTCTGAGAACTTTCAGTCCCACAGTGATTTACAGTAAATTTTACCGGCCTTTCGCCTCTCATGCACTGGCTGACAATTTTTCATGCGACATGCGATGAAATATATTCTTCATGTCAAATAACGAATGGCAATTGGAAGACTTGGAATGGTCAGTATTATTTACAGTGGTCATGCAGTATTATCAAGCCCATCGCAATTTTACTTTACTCGATTTCTGAGTGAGTTGCGGATCAAATTCTGATGCAAAGCCCAATTTCGATTTTATTTGGGCTGCATATTCTGTAGCCTGCGAACAGGCTCTCAAGCTGAATTGAGAGCCTGCATCGATGACTAATGAATTTGAATATCTGCCCCGTAACATCTGCCTCGTTTTTCCAAATATGGAATGTTTATCCTTATTTGGTGTTGTTTACAACTTTCGTGCAAACTAAATTTAGACCGTGCAAACTAAATTTAGGCCGTTTTATGCTGCTTTTCGAAATATAAGATATTCAAGCAAAAGTTCAAATGTTTTAAATACTGTTTTCTCAAAACAGAACATTTCATGCTTTGAGATAAGATGGCCAAGACCAATTTGATCAGTTAATGTGTTTTTTATGCATAGTGGAAACATATAAATTATAGCATCTGACCAGTGAGAATTTCGCGTCACGATTTGAGACGCAGATATTCAAATTCATTAGTCAGCTTTCAATTCAGTTTGAGAGCCTTTTTCACAGGCTACATATTCTGTAATTCTGTTATTCTTCTCTAAGACTATGAAAAAAGTTTAATACTGACCACTGTAAATGATACTGACCATTCACCCATTTCCATTTATTATTTGGCATGAAGAATATATTTCATCGCATGTCGCACGAAAAATTGTCAGTCGGTAGTCACTGCAGAACTGAAAATTCTCAAAATGGTATGCGAGGCGAAAGGCCGGTAAGATTTAAATCACTATAGGAAAAGTTCCGTGTACGTACGTACTTACAACGTACAAGTGGTACAACGCACCATAATGCCCGACTCTTCCACAGTCCCTCGTTACATTTTAGTACGGGAGAAATGGAGAATATGCCCGTTCGCGTGTTAGGCGTTGACACCCATTCACATCATCCAACGCGAGCGACTGGGGACGAGTTAGCCATAATGCATTGCGCTTGAGCTCGATGAGCCACCAAAATGTGGGACTCGCTCAGGCTCGTGCCCGAATTATAATAAATATGCCTATAAAGCGCGGCCTTCATGCAGACATGGGCCTTTTTTATTTTTCAGGTTTATCATGTCAGGTCGAAGCTTTAAAAATGCATTGCAATTATGACAAATATTAACATTCAATAGCAATATATTTAACCTTAGCTATAAGCGCTTGAAATTATACTATTATAGCAACGGAGCAAAAATGTTCTTAGCATTTTATTGGCGCGATACCTACAGTGCTATAGAGTGAAAACAATCTCATGCATGCATGCATAACAAACTGATAAATGTAATATATTTGTTATGCCCATGAAAAAAAGAAATTTAGGATGTTTTGATCCAGGAGCGTCGGGGCGGCTCTAAAAGGAGGGGGTATAGTGCCCGCCTCTAAAAGGAGAGGGATAGTGCCCGCCGAAGGCGGGTGACATTCTAGGAGGTCTGGGGCATGCCCCCGAAAAAAATTAAAACTGAAATGCCATTTCCTGCACTTTAGAAGGAGGTTTACAGAGTTCTCAACGTAACAGAATGTCATAAAATATCTCAAATTGTCCTGTCTACAAACGTAAGTGATCATGAAATAATGTCAATTAACTTTGTGGTGTATTATTGACCATTATCAAAATGTGGGGGGGAGCAAAAATTCCCCCCCCCCCCAACTGAAAAAGTGTGCGGGGGGGGGGGACACGCTTCCGACGCCCCTGTTTTGATCAAAAACAGCTTCAAGAATCAAATTATTAATTGCAGCAGCCGAAATTCACTTTTTCTATTAATTTGCCCTTTATAGGTTAATTTTTGACAAATCACCTATTTTCACAGTAAGAATGGGGAAAAAAGGAGGGATTTGCAGTGGCCCCGTGGGGCCCATGTTTTTTTTTGGGGGGGGGGGACAAGGCAGTACTTTTCCAACACAAAAAAATTTACCGGACAACAACATTACAATTGCTTTCGTAGCAGTTTACCCGATTTCCGAAGCACTTTTTCCCATGCTTCACCACGAAGATTCCGACAGCACTATTGACAATTTTTCGACGGGTCTTAACAATTCAATGGTGTTCTCCAATTTCTCATTTTCCATCTACCGTGCGCATAAATGTCTGTAGCAGGATAATTGGGCCTCCTTTTGCAAATTTTTGGGGCCCCTTTAACTGTAAGCCTGGGGCAATCCCCCCCCCCCCTCTGGGAAGCCCTGAAAATACATATTTACAACGATATTACAACAATACACCACTCTAAAATTTCTGGTTAATTAAACGTCCTGATTAATCTAGAAATAAACCTACTTAGGTTAACTTAATATTCCTGGTTAATTTTCTTGGTTATTTTAATGTTTTGATGGTTATATTTTGCTCATGCAGTTAAACTGACTGGCCAGGACGTCCAGGTTAAATTAACCCGACTATGTTAGGTGGATATATATAACCATACAGGGGCCCCTGTTTGTATAAGTTAACCCAAATAAGGTTATTTCCAGGTTAACCAGGAAAGTAGTTTCTGGTGTGTGCATTAATAATAGACAATTTATAGAAATTACCCCCTAAAACGCCCCCAATGTTACCACTGGCAGTGTCCTCGAGTCATGCAGTGTAATTATTAACACGATGCATGGTCTTCTAGCTTGTGACTCATGATTGATGTTCTCATGTTCCTCGATAGAAATATTGTTCTAATATGTAATTATGTAATAGGAGTGTTTTGTAGTTTTGAGCTTTTTGTTCCGGCAACAATATTATATATTTTTTCACAGTTCAAAGTTGTGCTCACATGTTTTGGAATGGGGATTTGACCAATCTCCACCCCTGCCCTGCCCTTCCCCTCAAACATTTTTCATAATTACGTTACCAGTAACAACTAACAAATAAAGGTCAGCGAGCTGTGCTCTTACCAGAAAAATGATGCATATGGTTAAATTTTGGGTGTATTCCACTCTTAGTTACTATACCCATGCATGCATGCATGCATGCAAATAAAAACATACAGTCGCGAGATATGGAAATATTTAATTGACCTGGACTGGTAATAGTATATATCTTTCATTACACAATACATTCTATAGTTTAATTTAAATTGTTTGATGAAATTTCCATTTTAATCGTATATCCCAAATTTTGTGGCCAAATTTCTTGTTTGACTTGAACGCCTGCAATATAGTAGAATGGAGAAATTAATTGAACAAATTTGATGTTTAGTATCTTTCGAGTGGAATTAGACCTAACCAGGAGCCTTCTGGCAGGAATCGAGCATGCGGCCCTATGATTCCGGTGCAACGCTCTAACCAATTGAGCTAGAGAGGGACAGTTGTTGAGCTCTGACCACAAGTTCATGTGTGAATACTAGGAAGATGTCAATGTACGTTGTATGGGTAAATATCAGGATTTTGAGCATCCATTCGATATAAAAATTCCACTCGAAATCTCCATCTAAAAATCCCTTCAACGTCACTGCATCACCTTATTATTTATGCATGAACTTGTGGTTAGAGCTCGCCAACCGTACCTCGGTTGGTTAGAGAGCTGCACCAGAATCTCAGAGCCGCAGGTCCGATTCCTGTCAGAGGGCCGATAGCTGCATTTTTCGCAGCTATTCCTGGTTAGGGTCTATAAAATTCAAACTCGAAATTTCCATCTACAAATCTCTTCAACAATTAGTTCTATCGAGTCAGATGCCCAAAATCTTGATACATTTTCTGTCTCTGGTGCATGGGAATCGAACCCGCGACCTTTGATTTGCTAGATCGGAATGCTCTATCCGAACTGAGCAACGAGGTCAAGTCTATTCGAGTGGGTGATATTTCTCAACAACACAAACATATATCTTCACCTGAGAGCATAATACCAGATCGAAACAGAAAAATTGAAGATTGTAAAAACACAGTGATATCGAAGGAACTAGACTGGTTACGAAATATCTCCCACTTGACCAAACTTGGACTAGAAAACCACATGTCGCGGGTTCGATTCCCACCGCGGTCAAGCAAACGTTTCAGCTAATTGCCCGGTTTGGACATACTCATCACAAACATAAATCCTGACCACTTCCATATCTCAAAACCCCTATTAACTCTCACTCAAATATGCCATAATAAATCCTTAACCAATTTTAAGAGGAAGAAATTTAGTAAGCCTCCCCCGGTGTAATTTAAGCCACCAACTACAAGTATATTAAGCAACCCACGATCTGTGATAATGAGATCCGCCCCGTTCAGACGAGTTTGAAATTGGCTGGCCCCCATTATGCATGGGTCATGCACAGTGTTTAAGAGAGGATTTACAATATATTTTGTTATGTAACATATTCTTGATATACACACCATCATTCTTGACATTGACATTTTGGACATTTTGTTATTTTGTCGACCACAACTCCGCCTTTTTCGTCACAAGTAAGTTGACACGACATCATACTGCTACATTGAGATGCTAGGAAAAATTAAAAATAAATAGGAAAAACTATATAATAAAACTAAAACGTTGTGGGAGCGATCTTGCCGAACAAATATATAGTACTAGAGAACATGCCAAAGTGATGAAAATAGAGGAACGTACATGTGATGTCAAACTGGCTAGAAATGAGACTCTCAAGCTGCTACGAGTCTACGACAAACCATACCGCAACTCCACGCCGGAGATCTTCAAATGTGCACAGAAATTACAGGATGCATCCCAACTCGGCAACTGGACAGCAGTTTTTTAATTATGTTTAGAGTACAGTTGGTACCGAATTTACTTGGCTAGCTCAATTATCATTTTTTACTACTGTAAAATCAAAGGTTGGTAAATAAACACCGCACAAAAAGAAAATCTCCCCCTAAATATATCATCATAAGTTCCGTAAATAAATTATTACCTGATAATCACACCTAGCACTAGTTAGACCTATGGTAGTTTGCTTCATGCTGTTTGGAGAATGGGGTCATTCATGCTTTATATAAAGAATGACTTATAGCCTCCATTGAATACAAAAATACCCAATTTTAAAATTAACAAGAATGACTTTATTTAAATTTCACAACAACAGCAATGTTTCATCAATGTTTAATAATGGGTGTAACCACCACGCGTTTCGATGACTTAATAATTCAAGGTATCGTCTCCTGCGAGCTCGCCAGATCTCAACCCAATTGAGTATCTTTGGGACCAGCAAAAGCAGTCTGTCGATCGCCATGCAGTTCGACTAGAATACATCACTTTGGCTGACTTAGCTCAATTGCTGCAGGAGGAATGGATGACTATGGTGGGTGAGCAGACTCCTCAACACCATGAGGAGACGATGCCTTGAGGTGATCGAGAAGCGTGGTGGTTACATCAATTATTAAATCATTGATGAAACATTATACTGTTGTTATGAAACTTAAATAAAGTTATTCTTGTTAATTTTGAAATTGGGCATTTTTGCATTCAATTTAGGTTAAGTCATTCTTTCAAGCATGAATGAACCCATTCTTCACACAGCCATTAAGCAAACTACCATACAGGTCTAATTTGATTATCAGGTAATCATTTATTTAGAAATTGGTCAGCTGTTAGGAAAGTGCAGTAAGTGACCAGACAACACCAGGGTCTTTCCCAAACGAGGATGGAGGACTGGATACGAGAATGCTTCTTTTTTGCGAAAATGGAATTCAATAATTGTTTTATTAGACTGCGAGCGGTCCCTCCTTTCCACGGGTTTAGCTTCCCGGGCGTGCGATGGGAAAGGAGAGACCGCCGACAATTACATATCAAGAAACGAAGTACGCCCACTTTTCGCTCTTGTCAAGTTGGCTCCGCCTGTGCATAAACATTACTTATATCCATTAATCTATCCAATAGAGACCGTTAATGTCATGTTTATTTATAAAATCAACATTCAAGCCCCGTTTACACGAGCAAATTGTATTTGACAAATTTCATATGTCAAAGATATTTTGCTCGTGTAGATGAATAAGTTTGTGACAAATTTATTGTGACAAATGCATTTGAACAAAAGCTAGCATGTTAGCTTTTGAACAAATGCATTTGATCAAATGAAATTTGTCAAACAAAATTCGCTCGTGTATTAAACGGGGCTTCAATCTGGAAATTATTTATGGCATAATTACTACATATCAGATTTGATTGACAGGCATATCGATTTCGACCAATGGGAATTTTGCGTTGTGTGGGAAACGCGTATTTCGTTTCTTGACGTGTAATCATGCCTATATATTTAGTTTTTTAGCAGGTAGCCAAAAAAAATTGCAGTTAGCCAAGCATGGTCCAAACTTGCCCGCTTCGTTTGAGATTTATGTTTAATATTGTCAAAATTGTATTAAAATAATGGTATTTGTAACAATATTCAATGAATGGAAATCAAGAAAGCGGACAACACTGATTGTTTGAATAAACTTTTCTCACGTTTTTGATGTCATCATTTGATGAATTTACGTCTTTAGTACGACTCTTATTAAATCTGGTTGGTAAACATTGCAAAATGTATTCGGAAAAATTGAAATTTTCTACTTTACTTAATAATTAAGCATGCATAAGACCTTCTGACCAAGGATTGCAGTTAGCTTTATGCACTTGCAGGTAGCGCCGCTACCTAGGATCCCAACATCTGACAGGCATGGATGTGTTGTCGGCAGTTAAGCCTTTCTCCCAATCAGCGACAGCTCGCGGTCTATTGTTTTAATATTTCTAATTATATGGTTATCACTTATGTATCAGTCAATTCCGGGGGTGGGGCTATTGTCGAAATATTTCAGCCCGGGAGTGGGGACTTAGACGTTTTCCATCATGGCGATTGGCAGACTATAACATGGCAGATTTCGATGGAAAAGATACTGAATTTGTTTGCAAATGGCTTGATACTCATTCTTTGGGATGGTCTTTGAGTACCATTGTCTTTGATCATTGATGAGTAAAATCCTTTCTCTACATGAATGGACAATGATCACCATAAAAAATGATCTATGAGTGCATCGCCGACCATCAGCGACATACGACCGGACGCGATACGTCAACGCGACGCGATTTTTTAGTTTTTGAAAGTTAATAAAACAGCCAAACGAGAGCAAATTTTAAAAGATAGGTAGACCAAATAACTCAAAATGTTATAACGTTTCTAAATATTTAGAAACTATAGGATCAAAGTTATCAGTCAGCGAAAATCGAAAAATCGCGACGTGTTGTCGAATCACGTCCGGTGTGTCAGGAGGACCTTTAAGTAAAGACAATATTTTCAAAGGTTGACATTAATATTATTATAGGTCTAGCTAAATGCACTGAAGTTAGGGTTGAGAATTTATACAGTGTTGCATTAATATAAAAGCATTTTTATCCTTCTTGTAGAATTTCTTCTTTGTACTTTGCATTTATATTGTCCATAGCCATAGGCATAGAATTACAACGTGAAAATCAACGTGTATACTGAACAGTCAATATTATTGCCTGGGGGTGGGGATATAGACCCAATTTGTTTGCGCAGGGGTGGGGCTTTAGCACAGTTCTTCTTTCCTTGGAGTGGGGACATGGCCATTTTCTTTCCAGAAATGGCTAATTCCCCGGGGGTGGGGGTGGGGGATGGGCACCGCCGGAATTGACTATATAGTGTGCGCCATATTGTTTTGGTCGTGTTTTCACATTTCGTATTTCCACAACATGACGTCATTAACGCTGAATATGATTTTTTCATATTAAAGTTATGACGCGATTGACGCCACTCCGTAAAAGCTCCATATACAGTTGGTTGTTAGATAATCATAAACCATGAATCTTTTAAATAAATAATAAAAAATAAGACTGATACACCTACTCACTCATATTCAACATGCAGTTCATAGCTTCATGCTCATACAAGCTATATACAACTACAGACATTATATATTTTTTGACAAATCAATCTTCTGGCGTTAAATAAGATTGTAGGCCCTACGTATCTGAATGTAAAAATATAAGTAAAACTAAATAAAAATGCAGTTACCTCGACATTCACATTTCGATAAACATCCAAAGCCATCTTGAACCAAGCCGTGTGTACCGCAGTTGAGCGAACAATGCAACATACTGCAATGCGAATCATATGAGCGTCCTAGATAGAAATTATCGAAATTATAGTGACCCAAATTTTGAAAATATCTCTCTTCAATCATCACCTTTAACCTGTATATATATATAATATATATAATATATAATATATATAATATATATAATATATATATATATATATAATATATATAATATATATAATATATATATATATATATATATATATATATATATATATATATATATATATATATATATATATATATATATATATATATATATATATATATATTATTTGGCCAATGACTCGGTCCAAGGGTCTTTCTTACCTGGGAATATATATATATATATATATATATATATATATATATATATATATATATATATATATATATATATATATATATATATATATATATATATATATATATATATATATATATATATATAAATATAAATATCTAATGTTGTTTTGGTGGTTACTCTGCTATTTACGAAAGGTTATTGACCTGTTCTTTTGGCGCCTGATGAGCGGTGTCAGTGAATCGAAATTTGCAACTGACTTGCATTTTACTCGTGAACAAAAATGTATAAGTCAATAAAATTCTTTGTTGTTAAGGTGCATAAGCGCCCCAATTAAAACGCGGGAAGATAGCATTACAAAATTAAATTAGAAAGAGGAAGATCTGCTTACCACACATCCCCTTTTTGAAGACAAAGAGATGTTTTTGGTGTTTACAAGCAGCCTGTTTCAGCTCACATTCATTTATGTAGCCAATACCATTGGACCCACACACCCCCTTGTTTTCTGTACAGTTGTTGAAGGTTGGACAAACACATTTTCCAGCTGAGTTCAATATCCCGCCATATTTACAGATAGGCGTTCCGTTATAACCTGGGACAAAGATGTATGGTTATTGCTAACTTATACTTATAGGCTTCCGATTATGACTTCGGGTGTGATTTTTTCAATCAGGTATACCATCGTGCGGCACAATTGGCTCATCATCCAGGCCACTTATTCTTAGTACGTACAACATGCATGTATTATAAGCTGAAACTGGTTTCGCAGCATACATTTGTCCAATGACTCGGTCCCAGGGTCTTTCTTACCTGTGAACGAGGTTATTGTTATAGATACACAGTATGACGTCATAATGTGGGAAGAACAATAAAGTGGCTTACGAGGCGCCAAGGCGAGGTAACTTAAACAGGTAAATAGCTTGCTTTTTATCCACCCAAACTCATTAATGACTATTCCAGTCATAATCAATGACTATTTAACTGCCTTATTTATGTTTCGATACCACCAGTGACCATTTTAATAATTTACCAGATTTCTTTAAAAATATTTTATAACAAACAACCAAATTCATGAACATAACACGAGAAATGCATCAAAACTTCACAAATGTTATAAAAGAACAAATTATGTAAAACACACTCTCTCAAATAAAGGAGACAGTTGATGTGTGGAATTCGGTGAAACAAAACTTAAAAATTAATAATTCAGGAGAAAACACAAAGAAAAATCATAAGCGTGTCGTATCTTTATATGTGATAAAAAATCATGTTAGTTTACATAAACTTTAGCTTTGATTTACTCGATTTAGACAAAGTTTATTTTAAAAATTACTTCGCCACCAGTGAACTCATATAAGATGAGTCGTTTTTTAAGCCATTTTGCGCCTCGCGTTTTATATCTGATAAAACACTCCTACGCGTGCTTTAAAAAGTACTTAATGAAGTAAACTCCTATATCAACTTCAAAAAGCAAATTAAACAACATTTTTTGCTATACACAATCACCAATAAAATTATATAAAACATGCATACTTCTCTAATGTATATAATGACATATACTTTAGTATATTGTAGCCCAATCATTGACATTGTAAAAATAAAATGCATCTACAACATTACTATTAATTTATATAATACGAACATTCCCACTTCAATCTTTTTTACTCTTGTAAATATAGTATATATACTTCAAAACGTTCTGATTTTACATATTATGTATTGATTGCATGACTGTAAATAATTGATTATGTGATAAAACAAACAGTAACTAAAAACCTAAAATAAAAAGTCTATGTAGATTTCTAGTAGGTCTCTATCCCAAAATCTTCAAGTTAATATATTTTAAGCAGATTTTTATACATGGGAACATAACTTTAAAAAAAAAAAAAAAAAAAAAACATTTGGGAATTTGAAAGAGTCGAAATTTTACAAATATCACGCGTGTCGCGTACATGATATATACAAATAAGGGAAGTGAATGCTATTGGCTACCTTAATTGTGACGTAATTCCGTGCGTCTGTCCTCTAATAGATCATGACTTTCGACCAATGAAAGTGCTTAAATTCTTAATGCTATTATATAAAATTTTATACAACATATATAGAGAATTTACATACTGTATGTCCTGATGAAAACGTCACTGGAAAAATACATATACGTCATGGAAACTCACATACGTCATGGAGCGTCATGGAAACTCGATCACATACGTCATGGAGAATTTTATACGTCATGACAACTATCATGAGAAAGACCATCAACAATCAAATTAATTTTCAAATAGAAAATTTATGCATTGCTTTTAAATGCATGGCATGATACGTATTTCAACGGACATATAAATCCAAACTATATATGGATATATCATTTTATATAATTGATATTGCACATAACTGAGTTTGAATGAATTTAGAAATTAAATATAGATTATATCCAGTTGTTATAGTGCAGGAGAACGTATTTGGTTTTTATCCATCAGTAATTGTTTTAATAAGTTCCTTTTTAATTCGAGGTCAAGAATTGTATTTTGTAGCGTTTATGGAATGTACACATGTTCTGTATTGCGAGAGACTGAGATAACCCTAATGAGGATTACATGTAGAATATTTAAGGCCTCTGCGAGCCGGCGAGCATGCAGAGTCATTCGAAGGTATTTCTCCCCAGCCAGTTGGTTAAATCTGTCGATATTTTTTCCTATTATTGCCCATCACAGAAATATTTTAACATTTTTATTTTCTAGGTATAGTCTTCATGCAGGGAAAAAGTGTTGTTTTTTACCTTTATAGACTGTTAAAAAAATTGGCTTCGACTCTGTCTCAGCATATACAATTTCCACATGGTCTACTAGTATGATCTATGATTGGTCTTATGGGGGATAAAAAAGTTATGTTCAATGTCTAGAAATACGGAATAATTCAGTTGACGTCTTTTGGTTGCAATAGGGAGTTTACAAATTAAGACGGCGACATCAGGACGACGGCTATCAATACAATAACATTAATCCTACAGCACAAAAGAAATGAATAATTAAAAGTATAGCAGGTCATGTTTCTAGACGTCGTCCAAGCTTTGTTGACAACGGCAAAATGCATATATTTTCACTTCGTCTGTAGTATATCTATAGCATTTCAAGCCGTGACAGGTAGTTTTTCTGGCAGAGTTGATCAACATTGCTCTGAGAACTAATTAAGCTCTGTTTTACTCGTTCGAAACTATTTTAAATTCATAAGAAGGTAAATACGGGACAGTTATAGGCTTCCGTACAATAATTTATTTCAAACAGTTTGTTTAGCCCTCGTCCTGACGTCGCCGTCTTACATTCGTAAACTCCCTAACTGCAATGTCCATAACGTGTTAGAGAGTAATGTAACTTGATAGTTCATATAACCTTATAAACAATAGTCAGATTAATTCGTGCAAGTGAAATTCACATTGAAATGGTATTATATGAAATATCATCATACTCACCTAACATGACAGCTATCACCTGTAAGGAATGGAGAAAGCAAGATGACATACTTAAATATGGAACTCGAATGTTGATAACTTATAGGCCATGCATGTGGAGGCCTGTGGAGGCTGGAGGGCGCTTATATGCCGGGGAAATAGGGTACGTCGTATGATACAAAAGAATGATGGTTATGAACCTAAGGGTCATTTGTTTTATGATCAGCTGGTATAGGCCTAGTCTATCTATCCATCATATCACAGCATTATTCCAAATGCGTTGCTTATAAATTGTTTAGCATATTGCCACTGTTGTTGTTTTAACAAAGACAAAACATTTGATATAATGAAGCCTGGTTCACATATGCCTGCATGCATTCAATATGCCTGCGCCATCATTGTTTACAGCTGTCAGCTGTTGATCATACATTCTTTTTTGAATTATTTGGCTAACACAATACCCATGCAGGCTTAATTGAGACAAATGATCTCCCTGATTAATTAATTACACATATAGCTGGCGCCCAAAGTCCATAAACTCCTCATAAACTGTCTAACGTGATTAATTATTAAAAATTCCAGAAGATCTAGAAGATTCGCCGGTAGAATAGGGTAAGAAACTGACAAAAGGAAACACAATGCCTTGATTTCAATGAAGATTTATCAGGCTATGACAATTTGCTTGTGAAGATATGAAAATCTCCAAGCATGGACTTAAATTGACTTTTTGTATACTTACGCAAAATATCCCCAACAGAAGGCCATTTCGGGAAGCACGCATCATGACTATATGAAGGTGTTTTTTAAAAATTCTGTTAAATTCTATGCACTTCACCCATTCTAAGCTTTGAATATCTTGGGTTACTGACGTAGCAACCACAACAAGGAAGAAACATTAAACATTTATGCTCAGTTTCCTCAATTTATGTTCTGGACCTCTGGTATTTCAGCATATGGAACATGCATTCACGCATTCTACTGGACTATACAACTGTGATCTACTATAAAGTTAAAAATGAACAACTTTACTATATGTCATCATTCAAGTTACAAAATTTGTTTTATTATGTCGTTGCTATGCATGAAAGATAAAAATATCCTCAACATCCTGTTACGACATATAAACATATTGCATGGTAAAGAGGCTACTGCAAAGGTTATAGACAATCATGTAATTAAGTATATTTATGTAATAGTATACAGGTATAGTTTGTATCCTTTGTATACCTTGGTATTTTACTTGGAATAAGATAAGACCATGCAGTTGTTATTAGTAATGTTGAATATAGGCCTAAAACGCATCAATATAATTGTAGAAAAGTTTTTTCAATACTGAAATATAATATGCATCTCTAAAAACAAGTAAGGGTGTACGCCGGAATGTTTAAGAATATCAAAAACGTCAACAACTTCTAAATTAGAAGAACATTCTGCACAATTTTCCACCTACGCTATAAGATTCATTTGACATTTGGGTTGACAGTTTGCTAAAATCCGTGATTGTAGTTTTTCAAATCTTTTTTTGTGTATACGTAAAAGAAAGTTTCGATTTAATTATCGTCAGCGTGAATGAATCAGGACTGGAACTAAATATGAATCGTGAATCGCTTGTTTTGCGTGAACAGTTTTTTCAGGATTGAATAAAAAATTCCAGTTGTTTCCCCGTTTTTATTTTGACGGTCTTGCGAGCGGCAAGACGTTGAGCTTCGCGAACAGCCGGGCCTGCTTCAGCATGCCATAGGAATAGCAAGTACTTGATGTGCAACGCAGTGAATGTACAGTATATGGGGGCACTCAGACTCACTGCGATGAGAATAAAGTGTGTATCGTACCGCGTATGAGTATTGTTTTCATGCACTGTCGCATTTTCCACTTCCAAATTTCTTCGCTCATTTCTATGGACAGCAATACAGCATTGTTGAAGTTGAAAAGAATTGATTAGATAGGGTGTATATAAAAAAACGCGCTATTGTACGTGAATTACTCGGCGTATGACGTTTTTCATATTCGGAAAGATTAGACTTTTAGTTATTGAATTGTTAATCATGTTAGTCAGAATATGGCATATTTTCACCTCTGTGCCTAATTAAAGCAGTGCATAACAAACGAAAAAGCAATTAATCACGAACTTAACTTGCTTGTCGTAGCTTAGCTAAGATTTATTCCTACTTAATATACAGTATAATAATTATGAATATGTGCGTAGTTTATTGAAGTGAAATTCATCAACTTAAGTACCGAAGGGGTTATATAATTAATTTTCAACGGTGACAATATGCGATCTAACATTTTTTATCCGACTCGTATATATATACTTGCTTATTTTTTATCCATTTGGCATGAAGAACATATCATTCAACAACTAAAAGCCTGATCTTTCCCAAGATGAAAAAATCGCGTTTATATACGCAGAGTAATTCAGATACAACGGATACACTCTGTGCAGCACTGTAAAAACAGATTGGTTGAAATGACCAATTTAAATTGGTTGTCTCAGACGCATCTCTTTTTGACCAATTTTATATGGTCAAAACAACCATAATATTGGTTGTTTTAACCATTTTTGTGGGTTGTTTTAATCAATTTATTGGTTATTTTAACCAATAAAATTTGGTTAAATTAATGCGTCTGAGACAACCAAATTAAATAGGTCATTTCAACCAATCTGTTTTTACAGTGTGTTAGATATATCTAATTATTTCCAGCCTGAAGCTGGCCATGAGACAAAAAACATGGTGTATTGTGTAAAGCATTCTAGAAATCATAATAATGAATAATCCGCGCGGGTGTGGCCACCGAGTCCTCACGATTCCATTTTCACGTATGTAATGAATATAGCCTCAGGATGAATTATTTATTGTTCCGATCCTATTCATGCATGCCGTCATGTAGTGATAGCCACAGGCTTGGTATGTCAATATTGCTATAACGATACTATATAATTACGTATAATTAACTACGGTACAAAATACCGCTGCTGTGAATGCCAAAGTTTGATAAAATAGTGTGAAGTTAAAGCGGCAAGACTGGACGGTTTTGGTAAAGTATATAGCTACCCTGTATAATAGACTTGTTCAACTGATCGAACATGCCGCACAAAATCTTACCTGATATAATCTTTCCTTGGGCTGACGATGTTTTCATTCACGGCTGACAAAGCGATTTGAAGTTGTGATCGGCTCAGATCTCTCTTTATATACACAAACTTGACATACATATGACGTCAGGTAATTAATTCAAAAATCCATTGTTTTAGCCAGCTGTCAAATGACAAATATTAGTCTTGAGCATGCAGGTCAGCAGGCCATGCAGCAATACTTTTAACACGTAATCAGATACACTAGTTGGTATATAAACAGAATATATAGGGTGTACTGTATAAAAAAAATAATCCAACTTTGACAGGAGATCATGTGTTAATTATTACGTACACGTTTATATAGGTTTTCTGTTTTCGTATTTATAAAGATCAGGCTTTTTAGCTGTCAAATGACCCTTTATGGAATCATTGCGTTACTACAGTGACCAAATACGATCTGATTTAAAGTGGTTGGTTCCAAATTTTCGAACATTTGCCCAAATGCATGGTTGTTGCCCATTTTGGGAAACTTTAATATGGCATTGCATGCGAGGCCAGTCTGCAAACTTTCAATTCTGTGAAATGTTTTAATCACTCAATTTCGATGCAAACACGATGCTTATACATGTGTGCAGTGGCGTAACGGAGGAAGAGGAGGCCCTTAAGTATGTTTGGTGTGGGGGCCCATGTTGACTGTTGTCATTGTTTGACTGAGATATTATATTTATATTGAATATTTATAGAATGTTCTGGAAAATTCCGTGTCTATAACAATAACAGTCTCCAACTCATGCAATAACTAATAAAAAAACCCCGGTATTTGTCGTATTTTACGAATCTGTCACGTGATTTACCACCGGTGGTACACCGGTACACTGCGACACGAAATTCAGAACTATATGAAAGTTGCATGCCATATATGGGCATGCAACAAAAATGAAAAATGCAATTGAGCCATTGTCACATTGTAACAGAACAATTGGCCGTGTAAAATACTTTAAGTTGTATTGTGTATGAGTAAACAGAGAAGTCATGTTTCACATATTTAATCTGCTTTACCACATATCATGAGGAGTTTAATTATTATTGAAATACTTTAGTATATAGGGTGTATAAAAAAAGGAATCCAAATATAACGTGCAGTTGTGTGCAAAATATTCAGCGCACAGATTTATTCTTTTCACGTTAATATAGATTAAAGTCTTAGCTCATGAATGATATCTTTTTGTATGATTCCAAGAAAAAATGTTCAGATACGAGCAGATTAAAAATTACCGTTCAAAATCACATTTTCCGCCTTTGTGCTTAATTCAAATTAAGCTACTCATAACGAAAAAAATAAATTAATCTGATTAATCATGTGTCTTGGAGAACAATAGTTTAAAACATTTAAAACAGAAATGGCCACCGTGATTTGTCAACAATTTTTAATTTTTCCATATGTTGGGAAAGAATTTTGGATCCAAATAGGATTTATTTATAAGTAATAGCATGGCTTGAGGGAGATTAGTGATTAAATGGCCCCGTAACCCGAGGCAGGTTTGCGGAATTCCCGAGGGCGAAGCCCGAGGGAATTCCGCAAACCTGCCGAGGGTAAGGGGTCATTTAATCCCTAATCTCCCGAAAAGCCATGCTATTAGTTTGTAATAGCATAGTTTCGCTCCCATTTAAAAATGGACAAACATGCCCTACTTGGAATCAGCGTATTTAAGCTAAAACATTTGCTTCATTGCTTGTGGGATGTAAAAGCTTGTTGCACATGCGCACTTTTTACGATTTAATCGGTTACGCATGCGCAATCTATCATTTAACGTACCACAACAAACACGCTAAATATATTAGTATAAATTTGGAGACTGCACGTGCGTAATTTAAATGATGCGGCAACTCAGGGAGCGGATGATAGACTATTGACGGCTCTGAGCTAACTGTTGCTGTTCCTTGCACGATTATGTGCGTGAGGCACTTGCCTAATGCGTAGTCGTCAGGGAGACAAAGGTGTGACCCTTGGTAACGGGCGATTAGTTCTAATCGCCCGCTCTAGCGGGCGATTAGAACTAATCGCCCGCTACAGCGGGCGATACGTGATTAAACGTCCCTGTTGAAACAAAAGAAACCCGGGCAACTATGCTATTACTAAAATAAAATTATTAATATTTCTTAAAGGCCCTGTCACACTATTGCGTATCGTACTAGCGTATGCCAGCGTATGAAAAATATCACTGATACGCCGGTATACGCTGACATACGCTAGGGGTACGTTAGGCATAGGTTGTATACGTTTCAAGCACGGTCGCGTACGGTGGCATACGGCGAGGCAGAACATTTTTTTTAAGCATGCTCAAAAATTTTGTGCGTATTGGACGTATGCTTTATACGATAAGCATACTCTAGGCACACGCTGAATACGCTAGAGGTACGCCAGATGTACGGTACTCATACGCTGGCATTTCAAAGGATTTTTGTGCGTATGAAAATTATTTCATTCATTTTCATACGCTTCTCATACGTTTCTCTCATACGCAATAGTGTGACAGGGCCTTTAAACATAAGTATGATATTTTACACAGACATTAAACTGTCATATGGCATGCAATATAATTTTACTATCTGCTTCAAGTTATCAACGAATAATCCGTTGTGGATATGAACTTGTCATACAGCGAAAAAATATTGAATTAAAAGGCAAAAAGAGAAATTCGGTTTCTTGACGACAGGCGTCTTCATATGGGAATTTTTCATCCCGCCTATCTATGATCTCGGCTTCCTCCGCGATGCATGACATGCCGCGATGTAACTGTTTATAATAAATTTCCCTCGTGTATTTTATGGTTAGGTTCATTTTTCAGTCAATATTATTTCCTTTTCTGTGCGTGTTTAGTATCTACAGGCTTTCTACATGTTTATACGCAAGGCGCAGTGTTATTCTACGCAGGCTATGTTATTTATGCAAGAGGCGAATAAAAAGTTTATAGAAAACTTTTCAGTTGCGAGGTTTTACTACAGCATTTGCCCATAGCCTTTTCTCTTTCATTCCTGGCAGTTTTTTCCATTGATCATCTCCCATTGTGAAACTTTCTACTGAGTTGAGATGCCCTTCCTCACTATTGTATCCGCCCAATACAACAATGACGTCATGCATGATGACAGCTGAGGCACCACCCCTCTTGTGTTTCAGTGAAGGTAATCTTTCACTTCGTCCTGACTCAGTGTGATACATGATGACGTCATTTAAATGCTTGCCGTTCTTATCCCCACCGCCAACAAGGATGATCATATTGCCCCAAGTAACTGTAGACATTTTACAAACAGGCTTGTATAAAGATGTACATGGCTTTAATACTTTCTTGATGAAATCATACACAACAACGCTATCTGTAGCATCTTTACTAACACTTGTTGTCGATCCTCCCAAGATAAATAACTTCCCGTTAACAATCTCCGCTCTGTGGTTTCTTCTTCCATACGGCATTCTTGCGAGAAGCTTGACAGTATAAGGCGGGGCAAGGGATAGTTCATAAATTGCATCGGATGTTTTCGCTTCATTCCAGTTATATCCACCGATGATGTACAATCTATTTTGGTAAACTATGACATCATGGGCAGATAACTTGACGGGCAGTTTTCCATCAAACATCGTCCATCGCAAAGGATGCTTGTTCATCTTTAAAATCTCGATCAAGTCAGAACCAGCTTGACCATCGTGGCCTCCAGTCACGATGACGTCACCGTTGTAAACACATGATGCTGACTCTGAACGTGGGAGATTTCTCGGTGGTAATTCAGTCGACGTTCCTTCTGTTAAGTTGAATTTTTCAACTGTATTTAATATCTTGTCATCTCCTGAGCCACAATGACCGCCAAAAATAATAATATCTTGATTGTTGGCTGGAAATGCTGGACCTATAGCTTGAGCGCCATTGTTGCTTACATTGCTTCCTTGCAACAACTCATTCAACATTTCTGTCACTCTTTGAAACTGCTGGCTTACCTCAGCTTTAAACATCACTTGATCTGCTTTCATTTCTGCTTGAGTTTGCTTTATCTCGTCAACATTCGCCTGATTTGTAAAATTAAAAACTTATATGATTTGGTTGTTGTGTTAAAATCTCTCAGCAGTGATATTGTGTACGACTGTACATTTTGAGAAATTATGCGCCATATGAATAGTTTATTTAATTGGCAAAGCTACCATCCCGGATCTTCAGAAGTTCAAACAATAGTTGCAATTATGAGCATCTGGGCTTTGGGAGAAATGCTTTTCAAATAGAAGGTGCCGTTTATACCAATACAAACCAATCATCTTAAACCCTACAAAAATCTAAACACAACCTTGTCTTACCTTCATTTCATTTACTTTAACATTCATTTCATCTTGTTCGCTTTCCTTTCCAGTGATTTTGATCATCACTTCATCCTGTCTTGCTTTCATTTCGTCAACATTTTCCTGAATTACAATTGTTAATATTAATAATTTAAAAATAGGATATAGGATCTTCAGCAAACATGCATTAAAACTGATGGTCCTCAACACAATAGAATAAATGTAGATATGTAGTCACTTTAACTGTCAAAAAAGTTGTACTGATGGTATTTCACTAGTTGGTATTATTCATGCTGCTCTAGCTCGTTTGAAGTTTTAATGCATCATATTTAATGTTAGTCTTAGATATTATCTCAGAGATGGTACTGTATACAAATTGACAAACTACATGTTCGTTCAAAATTTTTTACCTTTATTGCATCTTCACATGCTTTAATTGCATCTTGACTTGCTTTGATATCTTTGCAGTCGTGGCACTTCGGGATTCTAAACTGGCAGAGTTCTCTCTCATGGATTTCTTTATCTTTTCTATTGACCAACATCCCACATCCTTCATTTCTACACATAACAGGCGCGAAACCACATTTCTCAACATGATTCTGTAAATTTCCAAGCTGGACGTAGCCCGGGCATCCTCGCTCATTGTGATCACACTTGATTTTCAGCTCTGATAGAATATTCTTCAAAAATCTCGGGTTTTTCAAGGTTTCTGGGGTCAGGTGTTCTCTGCATTCAGGACATGTGTGGGAATTACGAAGATGTTGAGATATACAAGAAAGACAAAATGGATGTTCTCTGTTCTGGCAAGTTCGTGGATCTCTGAGCACTTCATGACAAATAGAGCAGAGAAGATCTTCTCTGACTTGACCTTCAAAACGTCTTTCATCATAACCTTGCTGGTAGCTGTGTGCCATTATTGAACGCCTGGGAATACGAAACAACTGTTGTTAAATTACAGAAGTGGCCAGCTTTAATTCCTGCACCAGACAAATTTCTGATTATTTCATTTTACCTCAAGCCCAAACCAATAATGTTAAATCCAGATAAGCCAATCACACAGAATAGTGTTCATATACCCCCGAACTCTATGCGTAATATTTTGTTGTGGCTAAAGCACTTAAAGCCTCTTTACGGAAATATACATGATTAATTTCCCGTAGTTTAAAGAATGTTTGCAATTGATCGATTCACTGACTTCTGGTGTTATTGTCACAACCTAGGCTGGCAGAGACCTTTCAAATAGATCTTTCAAACAATAAATATGATAATAATTAATAGCAATAAATATGATAATAATTTATGTATTTTTGTGAACACAGTACATACTCGTACGGTTATACGATTCTTTTGATTTTCATCTTAATTTAAGATAATTTTACTATTTGCACAGATGAAAATCCGAGTACAGATGAAAAGCTGCCTTCTGTTGAAATAATCTCGCTGTTCTGCCTACTGAGGCGCATCAAGTATGCTGAGCTATTAACAACCGGGATCTTGCTCTTTATAAACACACAAAAGTTTAAAATGTCCTCTCTAGAGATCCATCGCCCAAAATGTGGTTTGAGCTTTCAACCTTCTACCATACAGCCTCCCCTGTCGAGCTATCAAGTCTACAGAGATTGCTGGTGAATTCTTGTGTTCTGTCTGTTTCACTATCGTGTTCACAGGGTTTAGACTTTAGTGGTACCATAAATACGCAAGATTGGAATTCTCAAACATTGAGAATGTAGTCGACTGCTCTACCTATGAAGCTTGGTCCTCACTACACATAAGCATAAGCATAACAGATGCACTGTCCTCACTACGGCCACAGAATAAAGATCAGTACCAGAAGGGCCACTCAGCGTGCAACGTGTAGCCATTTTTTTATGCAACAATATGCAGCTGACTGGCCAGAAGGCGGGGCCTTCAGCCAATACAGCGCGTTTATTGGCCAGAAAATGTAATCGACTGGCTAGGAAGATGGCGGCCAGCGCCTCAGAAATTTCAAAGCTTCCGACGTAAGTGGCCCTTCTGTGCGGATCTTTATTCTGTGCTGCGGCACTACCACGCAACATAAACATTGCGCCTATGCTTGCGTTGTGGCATGGATTACTACCATTTTCGAGCTTCCGTGAAGCGTGCATTTATAACTAGGTTTTAAAACGTTTCTTCAGCATGAGTTTGTCATTCAAAACTTTTTATTTCGCTCCTAGAACATTTTGTTTTGACATAATAACTTCTGTGGGCGTGGTATAAAACATATTGTTTTGCACGCGAAACTTTGAATTTCGGCGTCAAAACTCGAAAGGACACTTGTATTACAGAGGTTTGCTACGTAAACATATCCAAAAGGTGCTATAAATCTGTTATTTCGCTTTCTATAGCAATTTTGTCAGTATAAAGTCAGTCCGTGTGAAAAATAAGAAGAAATTTTCGCGTGCAAAACAATGTGCTTGACACCACGCCCACAAAAGTTATTATTGCAAAACAAAAAGTTATGATTGACAAACTCATGCTGAAGAAACGTTTTGAAACGTAGTTATAAATGCACGCTTCACGGAAGCTCGAAAATGGTAGTATTAACAGACTATTAATAATCCATGGCTGTAGACAAGGTTTGAGCTATCAAGTCCACCCGCTCTACCTGTTGACTGTTGACTGTTGAGCTGATATTGTGAGCGAGTTAAAAGCGAAATTAGACTTACCAATGTCGAGGGATGTTAACAGATTATTACATTTTGAAGATTCTGCTGTGTGCCATTGTTGAACGCTTAGCTGAAATACGAAACAACTGTTGTTAAATTATGGATGTGGCCAGCTTTGATTCCTGCACTAGACACATTTCTGATTATTTCATTTTACCTCGAGCCCAGTCCATTGTTTTATATACAGCAGTAAAGCTGAATGTTAAATCCATGGATAAGCCAGTCACATAGTGTTCATTGCTACCTACACTGGACTGAAACTCTATTTAAAATCTCTTTTCCGGAAATATACATAATTAATTTCCAGCAATTTAAAGAATTTTTGGAATTAATCGCATTCACATTTTGTATAAACTTTATTTGTTTGTTTTTTAGACCGCTGACAGTTTTCAAAATAGAAGAAAGTTTCGGATTGATAGGAATACAACTGCCTGAAAAATACAAGGAGAATTTCGACGTCTTGAGCGAAGACCTTTCATCAGGAATTCCCAATGAAGGGCCTTCCGGTCGAATCGTCGAAATTCTCCTTGTATTTCCAGGCAGTTGTATCCCTATCAATCCGAAACTTTCTGGTGTTATTGTCACTACTTACGCTGGCAGAGACCTTTCAAATAGATCTTTCAAACTATTATTCTACTGCTTTATTGCAATAATTGTGCAAAATTTTGATTTATTGAGCAATAGAGCCCACATGAGCGTGTAGATTTACACAGCAATAAGTCCGATTATAATTATTTGTTTTTTGTGAATATAGTACATACTTGTACGGTTATACATTACGGTTCTTTTGATTTTGCAAATTCATCTTGAGATCATTTTACCATTTGCGCTCATGAAAATCCAGATACTGAAGAGCTTTGCGACTTTAATAATCGTGCTGCCTTCAGCTGAAATAATCTCGCTGTTCTGCCTACTGAGGCGCATCAAGTATGCTGAGCTATTAACAGCTGAGATCTTGCTCTCTATAAACACACAAAAGTTGGAAATATCCTCTAGATCAATCGCCCAAAATGTGGTTTGAGCTTTCAACCTTCAACCATACAGCCTCCCCTGTAAAGCTATCAAGTTTACACTACAGACTGATTGCTGGTGAATTCTTGTGTTCTATATCTGTCTCACTATCGTGTCCACAGGGTTTAGTGGTACCGCGGTATAAATACGCAAGATTGCAATTCTCAAACATAGAGAATCCAGTCGACTGCTCTACCTGTGAAGCCTGGTCCTCACTACTAGCAAGCACAAACATAACAGATGCACTGTCCTCACTAGCATGCAACATAAATAGTCTATGGTTCTAGTGAAGACAAGGCTTGAGTTTATATCAAGACGCCACCCGCGCGCGCTCTTCCTGATTTGTGAGTTAGTTCAAAGCAAAATTAGACTTACCAATGACGAGGGATGGTGACAGATTATTACATTTTGAAGATTCTGTAACAAATTGATGTGAACGGCGTCAACTGTATTTTGTGTTTGACTTTGTCGTATTATGTATTGTGTTCAAAACATCTCGTCATTTGAACGCCAGCCTCTCAACGTCCTTATAAGGAGATCGCCCACGCTGAGAGATTTGCATTTGTTTGGAATTCTAAGTATCATTTGGTGATTTGGTTTCATGTAATTCAAGAGAACTGACTGAACCTGTTCCTAAAGATTGAAGAACTTAAGTTTTTGTTCATTTATTACAGACCTTCATATAATAAAAGATAGGTTTAAATAAAGAACTAAGAAGATTCAGAAATTTTGAAAATTCAAATTTTCCCAGTTCTCATTTTGATATCAATGAGCAACAGTATATCTCACTATCCATCTATTGCTTTGAGATCAGTGAGGAACAGAAAGTAGCTTGCAATCCACTCCACGAAGAAAACTATTGTGAAAGAAACTACCCAGGAACAAAGTACCTCGGCCAACAGTACCCCGGAACAAAATACCTCAGGGGAAAGTACCCCTGAAGAATCTGCTATGGAGCAAAATAGCTCACTGGAGAAAAACACCTCTGAACAAGGTACCAGGGAACAAATGACCTCGAAAAAAGTATCCCAGAGAAAAGAACCCCTGGAAATCATCCCGTACTGTTGACAGGTTCACTAGTTTATACACCTCAACCTCGTTCCCAGGGTATTTGCTCTTGGGAAGCAAAGACCCTGGTGGACGCTGGTCACGTGACCCATAGAAAATTGATAGCCTCAGAAGGGGATAGAAAGGTCTCATATTACATGTTTCCACTTCCGCACTTCACACGTCGATTGCAAGGAGTGGCCGTGCTGTACAATAATCTTTGAGAATCATATATTCTTCAAAATTCTTGCTAAATTGGTTTCTGTTTGCCGTTTTTAAATTATACAAACATGGTAAAATGCAGATTCTTGTACTAACAGACAAGTCAACAAATCAAGCAACGAAAACGTATGACCGTATGGTTTGAAATATTTGCGTTTTTAATATTCTCTCGGGGTTCGGGCGCAATATTTTCATTTCATGCGTACGTTTCTGTCCTGGCTCTGCTTCTGGTTCAGATATTTACAATATTAGGCGCGTGTGGAGTATATTTTTCCTTGCAAGTGAAATATGATCCAGCTTCTCGCTTGAAATGTACCGCAGCACTTATTATTGATGACATTCAATATAGCAGGAAATCTTGTCATGATGAGTACGAATTTAGAACAGTATAAATCATGTTTATTAATACATGTAAAGTGAAGTATACAGCACTAATGCATCTGGCGAATGTCAACTACTACATTCCCACCCCTCCCAGATTGACAAAACAACGCTAATTAAAAATCTGCTAGATTAAAAATCTGCTAGATAGCAGATCACGTGACCAGCGTCCACCAGGGTCTTTGCTTCCCAAGAGCAAATACCCTGGGAACGAGGTTGTATACACCTCAGCATGTACTCTGGAAACTACCAAACCTGCTCTGGAAGCCAGGAAATCTAGTTAATTCTAGCAGTCTAGAAAAAAGTAAAACTGGATATGCAGGTCTGGAAACTGGTAAAACTGATTCTACCACTCCAGAAATGATCGCCAGTACTAGTAGTGCGGGCTCATCGGGAATTCAGCAGAGACTGTCAGCCGAAGAACAGGCGCAAGATCCTCTGGGAAAGGCAAAAAAAAAAAAGAGAGCAAGACAATGATGGATAAGACGGGTGATGATAGAGAACTTAGGGATAGATTACCTCAGAGAGTCTGGCATGGAACTTCATATAAAGTTGAGGTATGTTGAGATAATTGCTTGAGATAATGAGTTATATTGTTATTCTAATGAGTTTCACAGCCATCTTCCCTTCGATAGGATATGCTCAGACATGATTGCGTTTCTCAATTCTATTATTTGCCATCAAATACTTGAGTATTATACAAGATTATTTTCTCACTCTGATAACTGCGGGTGGACCAGCATCTGCTTCAGTGTTTAGTATCATAGTATGAAACCTTCCAGTACATAAATGCATGCAGTTTACATTTAAAATCGTGAAAAAATGTTCCGTTAATAATACTCAATTTTTTCAATAGGAAGTGGGAGGCATTGATTTTAAACCAGAGCTATCAAGACGAGTCAGTCACGCTGGAAGTCTGGGGAGAGTTTCTCCTAACCCAAATACCCGACTCCGCTCTAGAAATGGCAGTAAATCTTCCACTAGTGACGCCATCTCAACTACTAACGTCGTGCCAAGTGATGACGTCACATCAACATCTGACGTCATCAATAATGAGATCATATCTAATAGTAACGTCATTTCAGCAAACACGTCATCTCGTCAACCACGCGAGGCAGAAGCATCTGAAATGGCAATTATGTGACTTAATATTAGTAAGCTGTATATATCTGTATTATATATCCTTAGTCATACTTCATCAATAAAAATAAATTCATGAAATAATGAAGTCTCTGTTTAGCCTCCATAAATACCAGAATTAAAAAGCGCAGATCATAATTTCACAAAGTACACAAAATGTGGAGGTCGTATTGTTTACATGTCATACTAATTCAAATTAATTCAATGTTTCACTAATTACTAATGTTTCTGTCCAGACCAAATGTTTCTTTCGACACAAGATATATTAAATGAAGAATATTTACACAATAAGTACTGTTTACAACATGAGCGGCCGTGTTGTATCGGATATACAAACTCGAGCCGAAGGCGAGAGTTTGTATATCCGATACAACACGGACGCGAATGTTGTAAATGACTTAAAAAACGACTCATCTTATGAGTTCATTGGCGAAGTAATTTTAAAAATAAACGTTGTCTAAGCCGAGAAAATCAAAGTTGAAGTTTATGTAAATCAACATGAATCTGTATCACATATACAGATACGACACGCTTATGATTTTTCTTTGTGTTTTCTTCATGAATTATTAATGAGTTTTTTAAGTAATGTTTACAACATGAGCGGCCGTGTTGTATCAGATATACAAACTCGAGCCGAAGGCGAGTGTTTGTATATCTGATACAACACGGACGCGAATGTTGTAAACAACTTAAAAAACGACTCATCTCATGAGTTCATTGGCGAAGTAATTTTAAAAATAAACGTTGTCTAAGCCGAGAAAATCAAAGTTAAAGTTTATGTAAATCAACATGAATCTGTATCACATATACAGATACGACACGCTTATGATTTTTCTTTGTGTTTTCTTCATGAATTATTAATGAGTTTTTTAATGTATTATACAGGGTTATATCGAAAATAGAATTATTACAGTAATATTTCTTTAAACATAAGTATGATATTTTACATAGACACTAAAGTGTAATATACCATGCAATATAATTTTGCTATCTGCCTCAAGTTATCAACGAATAATCCGTTGTGGATATGAACTTGCCACACAGTTTATCAAAAGAGAACACTTCTCAACGTTTTGAACAAAGACTTTTTCGTAGCAATGCGGCTCTGGTTTAAAATATTTATTAAATCTACGAGCATTCGACTGCTAGTCTGCAGTCTTCAATGGGCAGGTTTCGCTACAGACTGGCACTCAAAAGCTCGTGGATCAGACAAATATTTTATAATCAAATATGAATAATCCTGCTTTGGCTTCAAACATCTTTAAACATACCACAATCCTTTGCACGGTGTGATAGCTCTATTATAAAATGTTTTGTCGTGAAACTGAAAATGACGTTTTATTTATAAAGTGTTAAATCCTCATGGTTTGCGCACAATAGGGATAGTGTTTTGATTGGCGTCGCGAGCATAAGCATGAGGATATATCACCATTGATGTTAACCAAGTGCAGGTCATTGGTTATAATATCATGTGGGGTAGATACTAAATATGCAAATGAATGGGAATAAATAACATTGACGGAAACTTGACCATAAAATAACCACCACTGACGGCTTAGGACGAACGTTTTCGTGTTTTGAAGATGAAATTACAATGTAGCTCTGTATAAATTAGCGCTTGCAAAACTCGTACATCTCAGTCATACAACACAAATGTTGTAACGATTTTGGTGTTTTCATCTTTTTTTCAAGAAAAAGCATTGCTTCAGCAAGAGATTTAACACTTTCATGCAAAGCAAATATGACACTCAGTAAAAATTATTTCGTTTCTTGACCTCATCCCGGTAAGCGGGCTGGCGTGTTCATATGGAACATTTTTTCATCCCGCCTACCTATGGTCTCGGTTTCTCGTATGCCGCCATGTAAATTTTTATACTAAAATTAGTCGGAGGGGAGATGATAGCAGGCGAGACGACTCGCGGGGTTATGTAAACAGGTCGTTTAAATTAAGGTTGTCAGGGTGTTTTGTAGTTACGTTTACTTTTCAGTCAATGTTATTTTATTTCCTTTTGACTATCAGACTTCCTTCAAATTTATCCGCACGGTATAGATAGATAGATAGATAGATAGATAGATAGATAGATAGATAGATAGTTTATTATGATTTTACATAGCAGCCTACAAAAGCTGAATTGCGTAAAATTTACAAAAATAATATGTACATCTCACATACATACATACATACACATACACATATCAATAAATATGTACTTGTAAAACGTTGGTAGCGAAGTTCAGATCCGACCTCCACCACCACCACTGCTACCGAAAAGGACTAGGAACTAATCAGAAACATTCAGACTACTAAATTAACTAATCACATGCATAACAAAACAGCGATAGGCAGCGGAAGTGGTAGGGGAAGTCAAATCTGATCCCCACTGTATGGTATCGTTTATAAACTACTCTTTTGACATTGACAGAATATAAGAATTACTAAAACGATTTGTTCGTGTAGCAGGACAGTCAAAACGACGCAGTCTTCTTAGGTTATAGGCTGATGTCTTTGAGGGCGGCAGAAGATGGCAAAGCTTGTGATCAGCATCGGACACAACTGTTTTGAAAAGTTTCTTAAAAACTTTCACTTGCCAGGTGTTACTACAGCAGTTGTGTAACGTCTTTTCTCTTTCATTCCTGGCAGTTCTTTCCACTGATCATCTCCCATTGTGAAACTTTCTACTGAGTTGAGATGTCGCTCCTCCTTATTATATCCTCCCAGTACAACAATGACGTCATGCATGATGACGGCTGAGGCACCACCCCTCCTGTGTTTCAGTGAAGGTAATCTTTCACTTCGCCCAGTTTCAATGTGATACATGATGACGTCATTTAAATCCTGATCATTCTTATCCATCCCGCCAACAACAATGATTATATTGCCCCAAGCAACTGTGGACATTCTCGAGACAGGCTCGGGTAACGATGGACATGGCTTAATCTCGTTCTTAATGAAATCATACACGACAACGCTGGCATCTTTAGTAGCGCCTGTTGTCGTTCCTCCCAAGATAAATAACTTTCCGTTAACAATCTCTGCTCTGTGGTTTTTCCTTGGCTGAGGCATTCTTGCGAGAAGCTTGGCAGTATAAGGCGGGGCAAGGGATAGTTCATAAATTGCATCGGATGTTTTATTTTCATTCCAGTTATATCCTCCTATGATATATAATTTATCTTGGTAAACTGTGACGTAATGTCCAAATAACTTGGCGGGCAGTTTACCATCAAACATCGTCCATCGCAAAGGATGCTGGTTCATCTTTAAAATCTCGATGGAGTCAGTACCAGCTTGACCGTCCCAACCTCCGGCAACGATGACGTCACCGTTGTAAACACATGATGCTGATGCTACTCGAGGGAGATTCATTCGCGACAGCTGAGTTGACTTGCCTTCTACTATGTTGTATTTTTCAACTGTTTTCAATACATCATCCCTTTTTCCACCATAGCGACCGCCAAGAACAATAATGTCTTGGTTGTTGTCTGGAAATGGTGGATCTGGACCTATAGCTTGAGCACCATTGTTGTTTACATTTTTTCCTAGCAACAGCTGATTCAACATTTCTTTCATTTTTTGAATCTGCTGGCTTACCTCAGCTTTAAACATCACTTGATTTGCTTTCATTTCTGCTTGACTTCGCATTATCTCGTTAACATTCTCCTGGATTGTAAAATTAAAAACTTCTGTGACTATGTTGCTATATTAAAATATATCAGCGACGACATAGTGTACATTTTGAGAAGCTGTGCACCATAAATAGTTTATTTACTTGGCAAAGTGTTCAATATGTTGGCTTGAATCCTTAGAAGTTTGCCTTAAACAATATTTGAATTGATAAACGCTCATGCTTAGGAAAAAGAGTTCTGCAAATTAAAACTTACAAAAGTAAACAAAATCTTGTCTTACCTTTATTTGATTTACTTTGACATTGATTTCATCTTGCTTTCTTTCCATTTCCACTTTTGTTGTGCTCAATTCCACCTTCATCTCGTCGACATGTTCCTGAATTGTAAAATATAAACTTCACTGACAAGGCTGCGGATAATCTCGGAGATGCCTCCATACATTTTCACAAACTTTTCAAAATTGATTGCTTTGCAAACACGCAAAGAACAAAAACTTGTCTAACCTTAATTTCATCTTGTTTTCTTTCCATTCCGACTTGACTAGCTATCATTTCATCTTGTCTTACTTTCATCTCCTCAACATTTTCCTGAATTATAATTGTTATTATTAATCATTTAAAAAGAGGATAACAACTTTACCAACCAAGTTGGTAAGATATTGATGGTCCTCGCAACACTAAAATTAATACAATATGATTACCTATTCTAGTTAGTTACTTATTCACTTATATAAAGAAATCAAAACTATTGATTCTACGGTATCACATAATTACAACGAGTAATATATTTGAAGCTGGTCAACCTCATCGTTCATCTTTATGAAAATGTTTGTTCATCGCAAATTTGAAAACGATATATCTGGTTAATTTTTAATTATTTTAAGGTGATTTGATAGCGAGTTAAAAAGTATGGTCCACTATACGTTGTTTTTCATTTAGTCTTCTCAGTTCTAACTCTTGGAAGATGTATGCCAGTTGTAGTTGCTCAGTATTCCCTAAATATTTGTCACTTCATTTCTCTTTGCAAACATATCACATATTGAGCCACTGCCATATTTTTTAGTGCTCGAAAAATAGAGGTTTTTACGGTAGTAGAGTTTTCCAGTATGAATATGCAGCTACTCGCATAGTTGCAACAGTTGTACTGATTGTGTTTTACCAGTTATCCCTTGTATTATTCATGCTGCTCTCTTTTGAAGTTTTAATACATCTTATTTAATGTTAGTGTTAAGATATTCTCAACTGTATATAAATTGATGAACTATGTTCTACGATACAATATGTTGCCATGCTAACCTAAACGTGGACAAAATGGTTTTACCTTTATTGCATCTTGACTTGCTTTTATTTCATCTACACTTGCTTTCATTTCATCTTGACTTGTTTCATATCTTTGCAGTCGTGGCATTTGGGGATTCTACACTGGCAGAGTTCTCGCTCATGGATTTCTCTATCTCTTTTATTGATCATTGTCCCACATCCTTCATTTCCACACATAACAGGCGCAAAGCCACATCGCTCAACGTGAGGCTGTAAATTTCCAAGCTGGACGTAGCCCGGACATCCTCGCTCAGTATAATCACACTTGATTTTCAACTCTGATAGAATATTCTTCAAAAATCTCGGTGGATCTTTGAGTGTTTCTGGGGTCAGGTGTTCTCTGCATTCAGGACATGTGTGGGAATTACGAAGATGTTGAGATATACAAGAAAGACAAAATGGATGTTCTTTATTCTGGCAAGTTCGTGGATTTCTGAGCACCCCTTGACAAATAGAACAGGAAAGATCTTCTCTGACTCGACCTTCAAAACGTCTGTCATCATAACCTTGCTGATAGCTGTGTGCCATTATTGAACACTTAGCTGAAAAACATAGATAATGGATGTTTAAATAATGGATGTGGAGTGCAGCTTTTATTCCTGCACTAGACACATTTTCTGATTGTTTCATTTTACCTCGAGCCCAATCCAATGCAGTTATACAGCAGTAAAGCTGAATGTTAAATCCAGATAAGCCAGTCACATAGTGTTCATTGCTATCTACACTGGACTGGAACTCTATGTGCAATATGGCTAAAGCACTTAAAACTTCTTTTCCGGAAATATACATCATTAATTTCCAGTAATTTAAAGAATTTTTGGAATTAATCGTTTCACTGAACAGACTCGTGTGCATTCACATTTTGTAACTTTATTTGTTTGTTTTTTTATTTAAACTAGACCGGTGACAGTTTTCAAAATAGAAGAAAGCTGCGAATTAATAGGGATACAACTACCTGAAAAATTGCAAGGAGAACTTCGACGTTATGGTTTGAAAGTTTGATAGTTTATTTGACACTAAACTTACAGCTCCAGAATATATCTAATTCCACTGCTGAAATATGTTAGGTTTACAAAGATATTAAGAAAGATAAACTAAATTTTACAAGTATTTTGTTTAAGAAAATGAATAAGATCAGACTAAAATTCTTGAAAATACACATTCACATACACATATGCGCAGACTTATAATTTGTTACTAAAACACTCTCTAGTGGTATAATTTAAATTAGGTTAAAAACCAGCATATTCATGATAACAACAGGCCTTCCGTCGAGGGTGTAGCTATAATATTATTAATATTATTATATTTAATTATTTTTTATTAATTATTTAATAATTAAAAAAAAATTCTGGTCCGCGCCTGCCAGTCCGCGTCCGCCGATCCGGGTCCGCCAGTCCGCGCCCGCCTTTTATCTACGCCCCTTCCGTCGGGAAGTTAGTGGTCGAGTGTCCACTAACTTCCAGTCGAAACGTTGAAGTTTTCCTTGTATTTTTCAGGCAGTTAAACCCCTTTCAATCGGTAGCTTTCTGGTGTTATTGTCACAACCGACGCTGGCAGAGATCTTTCAAATAGATCTTTCAAACTACTTATTGTACTGCTTTATTGCAATAATTTATTGAGCAATAGAGCCCGCGTAGAGTGTAGATTTACAATAGCAATAAATATGATAATAATTTATGTGTTTTTGTGAACACAGTACGTACTCGTACGGTTATACGGTTGTTTTGATTTTTCAAATTCATCTCAAGGTAATTTTACTATTTGCGCAGATGAAAATCCGAGTACTGATGAAAAGCTGCCTTCTATTGAAATAATCTCGCTGTTCTGCCTACTGAGGCGCATCAAGTATGCTGAGCTATTATTAACAGCTGAGATCTTGCTCTTGATAAACACACAAAAGTTGAAAATATCTTCTAGATCCATCGCCCAAAATATGGTTTGAGCTTTCAACCTTCAACCATACAGCCTCCCCTGTCGAGCTATCAAGTCTACATTACAGAGATTGCTGATGTTTCACATATACGTGTCCACAGGGTTTAGTAGTACCGCGGTATATAAAATACAGAAGATTGCAATTCTCAAACATTGAGAATCTAGTCGACTGCGCTACCTATGAAGCTTGGTCCTCACTACCACGCAAGCATAAACATAAGAGCGACGATGAAACGCTTTGATTTCTTATGTATTGTCCTCACTACCACGCAACATAACCATTGCCGCTTATGCGTGCGTTGTAGTGAGAACAAGGCTTGAGCTTGATAGTCTACCGCTCTACCTGTTGAGCTGATTTGTGAGCGAGTTAAAAGCAAAATTAGACTTACCAATGTCGAGGGATGGTGACACTGACAGATTATTACATTTTGAAGATTCTGTAACAAATTGATGTAGACTGCGTCAACTGTATTTTGCGTTTGAGAACTTTTAGACAACACCTTAATTTGTCGCAATAATATGTATTGTGTTCAAAACATGTCGTGATTTGAACGTCAGCCTCTCAACGTCCTTATAAGGAGATCGCCCACGCTGAGAGATTTGCATTTGTTTGGAATTCTAAGTATCATTTGGTGATTTGGTTTCATGTAATTCAAGAGAACTGACTTAACCTGTTTCTAAAGACTGAAGAACTTAAGTTTTTGTTCATTTATTACAGACCTTCATGTAATAAAAGATAGGTATAAAGAACTAAGAAAATTCAGAAATATTGAACATTCAAATTTTCCCAGTTCTCATTCAACCTCGTACCCAGGATCTTTCATTGGGAAAGACCCTGGCTGCGGCTGGTCACGTGCCTCATCAAAAATTTAGCGCCTGAGGGGGTGTGGGGAAAGTATCAAATTACATCAACATGCTTCCAGTGGGATATTCGTTAAAAACATAGATTTTGCGAATTATTACGTTCAAAATACTTGATAATTTTTGTTTATTTTCTTTGCTTTGAATTTACAAGAACATTGTTACATTCTTACTTACAGTCAAGTCAAGAAACCAAGCAAATCGTTACTCGCAGTGCTCTCTCGTGTTGTTATTCAATGCATGCTCTCTTCACACTCGAGCGCGGTTATAACAAACGTTTGTTGTAATGTTTTTAAAATAGGCAATTACATTTGTCCTTTCTTGTAAACGTTGATACGCTTTGCACCGATTCACTTGTTACTACGCGTCTTGTTTATAAGATTTTTAAAAGAAACAGTATTGTCTAGGACTGGCCCAAATATTAGCAAATGTAAACATTTGATAATAGCCGAACCGAGAAATGTCCATAAGCATAGAGGAAATTTCAGTCATTGATTTATCTGGATTTACTACATAAATTCGTATTCGGTAATTATAGTAAGACTTTAGCCTTTTTCTTGGTCTCTATTAATCATTATATTGTGCTAATATACTATAATCTATATCACAAATTTACAGTGTCAGATGCGCACAGACCGTCATTTGGCGTCATACGAATAGACATAAATTTTCGAGTTTTCTACTTCTACTAACATTTTTAAAGTATTCATTGTGAATCACCTGTTTATCTCTAATTCATTAATCATTTGCTACTTATATTTATTTGATAGTGTCAATGTCATATAGTGAATAATGCGTTTACACACAAGCAATCCTGGATATGATATAGACGATGCAAGCTGTCCATTAAAAAATAACGGTATTCTATTTCACAAAGTCAAAGCAAAAATTTAAATCTCACTTGTATTATTAAGAATGCATATACAACAAAAAATTAAAGCTTATTCATGTCAAAACGAAAGCTGTTTACAAAATTCATAAAGGTGGTGAACACTACTACACAGTGCTCATTGAAAGACATGTATAATATAGTGACATATAATTTGTCGTTTGACTTATCTTTGGTGTATGATTTTAATACCGTAGATTTTCAACAGACAGCTATACTTTGACATATACCATGATCGCTGGTTTCAGCAATGCCAAGGGCCAATTTTATAGTGTTTTGACGGGCTTTAAGTTTTTTTGATAAGGCCTTTATATAGATCAACAATCTGGCTCAATTTCCATATAAATATCCCGAAATGACGTCATTAATTACCAGTGACAAAATAAGTTCATATACTTTATGTGGTATATATATTGTTGCTTACCGGTTATTGCTGTCATAGGCGTTATTGGCGTTATAGTCGTTATTGGCGTTATAGTCGTTATTGGCGTTATAGACGTTATTGACGTTATTGGCGTTATAGTCGTTATTGGCGTTATAGACGTTATAGTCGTTATTGGCGTTATAGACGTTATTGACGTTATTGGAGTTATTGACGTTATAGTCGTTATTGACGTTATAGTCGTTATTGGCGTTATAGGCGCTATAGACGTTATTGGCGTTATAGTCGTTATTGGCGTTATATGCGCTATAGACGTTATTGGCGTTATAGTCGTTATTGGCGTTATATACGTTATTGACGTTATAGACGTTATTGGCGTTATATTCGTTATTGCCGTTATAGTCGTGATTGGCGTTATAGACGTTATTGGCGTTATTGGAGTTATTGGCGTTATAGTCGTTATAGACGTTATAGTCGTTATTGGCGTTATATACGTTATTGACGTTATAGACGTTATTGGCGTTATAGACGTTATAGACGTTATTGGCGTTATAGTCGTTATTGGCGTTATAGTCGTTATTGGCGTTATAGTCGTTATTGACGTTATAGTCGTTATTGGCGTTATAGACGTTATTTGAGTTATTGGCGTTATTGGAGTTATTGGCGTTATAGGCGTTATAGACGTTATAGGCGTTATAGACGTTATTGGCGTTATAGACGTTATTGGCGTTATAGACGTTATTGGCGTTATAGTCGTTATTGGCGTTATAGTCGTTATAGACGTTATTGGCGTTATTGGCGTTATAGTCGTTATTGGCGTTATATACGTTATTGACGTTATTGACGTTATTGGTGTTATAGACGTTATAGACATTATTGACGTTATTGGCGTTATAGTCGTTATTGGCGTTATAGTCGTTATTGGCGTTATAGTCGTTATTGGCGTTATAGACGTTATTGGCGTTATAGACGTTATTGGCGTTATAGACGTTATTGGCGTTATAGGTGTTATTGGCGTTATTGGAGTTATTGGCGTTATAGTCGTTTTTGGCGTTATATACGTTATTGACGTTACAGACGTTATTGGCGTTATAGTCGTTATTGGCGTTATAGACGTTATGGCGTTATCGACGTTATTGGCGTTATTGGCGTTATAGTCGTTATTGGCGTTATAGACGTGATTGGCGTTATTGGCGTTATTGGAGTTATTGGCGTTGTTGGCGTTATTGTCGTTATTGGCGTTATATACGTTATTGACGTTATAGACGTTATTGGCGTTATAGTCGTTATTGGCGTTATAGACGTTATTGGCGTTATTGGAGTTATTGGCGTTATAGTCGTTATAGACGTTATTGACGTTATTGGCGATATAGTCGTTATTGGCGTTATATACGTTATTGACGTTATAGACGTTATTGATGTTATATACGTTATTGGCGTTATAGTCGTTATTGGCGTTATAGACGTTATTGGCGTTATAGACGTTATTGGCGTTATTGAAGTTATTGGCGTTATAGTCGTTATTGGCGTTATATACGTTATTGGCGTTATAGTCGTTATTGGCGTTGTAGACGTTATAGTCGTTATTGGCGTTATAGTTGTTATTCGCGTTATAGATGTTATTGGCGTTATAGTCGTTATTAGCGTTATAGACGTTATTGGCGTTATAGTCGTTATTGGAGTTATAGTCGTTATTGGCGTTATTGACGTTATTGGCGTTATAGTCGTTATTGGCGTTATAGACGTTATTGCCGTTATAGTTGTTATTGGCGTTATAGTCGTTATTGGCGTTATAAAAAATATAAAAATAAGAAATGAATTTATCCAAAAGGTCTCTTATACAAAATTTTTGGGTGTACTAATTGATGAAAATTTAACGTGGAAAAATCATATTGATTCTATATATATGTAAAACTATTATCAAGTTTACTGGACTAATTTCAAAATTGCGACATTTTACGAGCTTGAACACTATAAAGTTGACCTATTATGCTTTAGTTTATCCATACCTTACATATGGTATTAAATTTAGCTTGGGGTAATACATACCCTTGGAAAATTGAAAAGCTTTTCAGAATTCAAAAGAAGATTATTCAATTAATGAAATTTAAATCATACACAGAATATACAAAACCGCTATTTAATGATTTGAAAATATTAAATATTTTCAAAATTAACGATTAGCTTACCAGCTTATTTATGTACCGTTGCAACAGTACTAATGATTTACCCGACATTTTTAGTGGATATACTTCATAAAAAATTCAAACATTCATGAACATTGCACGCGAAATTCAAAAAAATTGCATAAAGTTTATACAAGAACAAACTATAGAAAACAATCTGTTGTTAGTTAAGGTATTGACATTTGGAATAATTTAAGTACTGAGTTAAAAAATATTGGATCTTATATGGTTTTCAAAAAAAATGTGAAAACATACTTTATATCACACCAATCAGCCAATTAATCATCCTATTTTAATGTATAAAGTTTAAAAAATCTGAAAAATCTTGTAAATAGACAAACTTTCCTTTAAAAACCATCACAATTGTATATATTTTCGTTATTATATTATGTACTATTCTTATGACATCATGAAATTATACTAAGTAAAAAATGTTTTGTTATAACGGGTGTTTGTATTCCGAGTAATGAGTAATGAGTCATTAATGAGTAATGAGTAATGTATGAGTAATGAGTAATGAGTAATGAGTAATGAGTAATTAGTACTTAGTAATGAATTTTCGTACTTGCTTTGGAAAGATAAATTAAACTAATTAAACTAGCAGGAGATGCCATTCACGACTCCTTACTACATATCTTTAACCTTGTACTGGGCACTGACATTTTCCCAGATGATTTAAAACTTGCTAAAATAATACCTATTCATAAGGTGACAAGGCGGAATGCGGAAACTACCGGCCTATATCTGTAATTCCTACTGTCGCCAAAATCCTTGAAAAGATTATATACGACCAATTAAGTTCATATATCAATGACAACGACATCATTTGTAAACAGCAATTTGGCTTTAGACCAAATCATTCTACAGAAACTGCCCTATTAAAATGCACAGATCAATGGCTACTCAACATGGATAAAGAAATGGCAAATGGAGTGCTATTTTTGGATCTTAAAAAAGCGTTTGACACGGTTGATCATTCTATTCTCCTACAAAAGCTATACCAATATGGTATAAAGGGTACTCCTCTAAAATTACTAGCATCTTACTTAAACAACAGAAAACAAGTTTGTGTCATTAATAACAAGTCAGGCCAAGAAACAGTTCAATGTGGAGTACCACAGGGTTCCAATCTGGGACCATTGCTATTCTCATTGTACATAAATGATTTACCAATGTGCCTTGAGTACACACAAGCATCCATGTTTGCTGATGACACCAATCTATCATGCACAGGAAGGACCCCAGCCGAAATTGAGCACAAACTAAACGCTGACTTATCCAATGTTAACGACTGGTTAGAAGCAAATAGGTTGACATTGAACACAGACAAAACAGAATTTATGATAATAGTCTCAAAAAGAAAACTTAATCAATTTCGCACTGATATTCGTATACATATAAACGGATCCATTATTAAACAAGTTAAGCAAAAAAAAACCTTAGGTACTACAATTGATAACGAACTAAGGTGGACTGAACACATTAATGAGCAATGCAAAAAACTTTCAAGTGCAATAGCTCTGCTTAGAAAGGCAAAACCACACGTACCTTACAACGACTTACTCCGTATTTACAATTCCCTGGTAGTTCCTTACTTTACATACTGTTCGACAGTTTGGAACGATGGAAACAAAACAAATTTGGAAAAACTTTATAAATTACAAAAGCGAGCCGCTCGTATAATTACTGGATTAAACTATGAAACAAGATCAAAAACAATCCTCCAGAGTCTAGGTTGGCATCCAATAGATAACATTCTTAAAAAATGAGAATTTCTAATTACGTTTAAGGCTATCCGAGGTATAGCGCCGGAGTGCATCTGTAATATGTTCTCCTACTGTGATAATAGAAGTCACCACATGCGGAGCAACGGGCGGAAACTAACTCTCGATAAACCTAATAGATCATTTATGAAAAAGTCATTTTCATATCGAGGAGCTTCCGCCTGGAACTCATTACCTAACGAAATCTTAGACGTTCACGAACAGTTGACGATACATTCTTTTAAAACTAAGCTCAACAATCACCTACGTTGATAAAATATCCAATTGTAAAGACTCCTAGTCAATTACACTATTTGGTAAATACTTATACTATTTTGTAAATATTTATTTTGTACATTCTTTTATGTAAACAACCCCTTTAAAAGCAGCGTAGGCTGAAGGGTTATTGTTTGTAAATAAGTTTTAATAATAATAATAATAATAATAAACCATGAAAACATCACAGTGATTCCACTCACTCCTTGCCGTGAATAGTTATAATGCTGTGATAGTGTCAGCAGTTTAAATTGCATGGTATGATCAAATATGGCCATAATTTCGCTTATAGCATACTCGTTTTTAGTACATCACATATTAACCAGTTCAGCCTTCAAAACGTTTGTCTCCAAGTTGAATAACATGTTCGCAATGGTAGAATTACAAGTAAACACTAATATAGCGGTGGACAAAAATCGATTTAAAGAGTAATATCTTGGTTTTATAAACTGAAAACTTAGTTATCGACATTTCGCATGGGAAAAACCTGAATTTAGCCGAACAAAATGGTATGGAAAGTGTTTTCGAGCTTAAAAACGTTTGGACGTCAATTGCGGATTTTATACTGGCTGCATGACCGCAGATAGCAAAACAAATATGGTGACCGAACTGAATTTATCATAAAACCAACCTTTATAGCCTACGACAGCGCTTGTATTCTACAGTATACTATTGCGAACATGTTGTTCAACTTTGGGACGATCGTTTTGAAGGCTGAACTGGTTGATATGTGACATGCTAAAAACGAGTATGCTATAAGCGAAATTTATATGGCCATATTTGACAGGGGCGGCGGAACCGGGGGGCTAGGGGGGCTAAAGCCCCCCCCAGAAGTAAAAGTGGGGGGGGGCTTAGCCCCCCAGAAAATTTAGTTTCTTCTGGAAAAATTTTGATAATTAAGGAAAAATTTAGGTTATTTTTAGAAAATTTCGGTATAACGGGAAAAATTTGGAATATTTTGTGTAAAAATTGTGTATTTGCGGAAAAATGTTTTGTTATATGTCCGGAAAAATTTTTTTCATCCCTTTCCTTGTATATGTCCGGAAAAATTTTTGTACCCCTAAAATGGTACACTGACCGTTTTTTTTTGGCGACGGGGGGGGGAGGGGGGTGGTAGGTCACGAAAAAAAAATTTAGCCCCCCCAGAATGAAATCTGTTCCGCCGCCGCTGATATACGGCAAAGAGTGTGTGGAATCACTGTCAATGTTTTCATGGTTTATCTTTCCAAAGCAAGTAGGAAAATTCATTACTCATTACTCATTACTCATTACTCATTACTCGGAATACAAACACCCTGTTATAACTAGGGGTCTTAAACTAAAAGCCCAAAAGGGTTTCTAAAAGATCTCTAGCCCCTACGTATAGATTATAAAAATGTAATTAGTTAAATCTTATTGTACTTTGGAAAATTGGGCGAAATAAATTAATAATAATAATAATAATAATAGGCGTTTTAGTCGTTATAGACGTTATTAGTGATTTTAACGTTTCATTTCATTTTATTAAAATACCATGGCGCCAGAAGGCGAATTGCAACATTATTAAATGATAAATATATAATTACAATAAATTACATGACAACACATAATATATTACAGTCTAAAATGTTATTATACCATATTCCAAAAATATCTAACGTTAAGTCATGTTAATTTATAAAATTATTAAAGGGAAGTCAAGTCCGTTCTTCGCATCGGTTCTGCTCATAACAATGTGAGGACCCCTAATGTGAACATTGCCCAACTTTCGAATGTTTCGAATTTTTCTGAACATAAACTCTATTTCATATTCATTTAGAAGCAATAGCGAACCAAAATGGTGTTAGATATTCAGATAGTACATCATATTTTAAAAAATACAGCTGTTCAAAATGTAAACAAACCGTTTGTTTACATGCATTACGGACTTGACTTCCACTTTAACCTCCCGACTGCCACTGACCGCTACAACTAAGGAACCATAAACCAACCAAATGCGGCGTTTAGTCCAGTTCGTTAATTAACTAATCACTTGCGCACAAAGTCAGTAACAAGTAACGGTAATGGAAATCAAATCTGAACTTCGCTATAAACAACATCAATATCGGTAACTATCCAAATACTATCCTCTCGCCAAAGAAATGGGCATGCCTTACCCTTCCTGTATGTTACTGTAAATAATTGTTCATGCAGCTCAATTATAACATATATCATGAAGTCGCTATATTATAGTACTTATAGTGGGTTTAAAAGCAATAACGCCAGTAACGTACGTCTATAAAACCAGTAACGTCTAATAACGTCTATATATAACGTTCATAACGTCTATAACGCCAATAACGTCTGTAACGTCTATAACGCCCATAAGCCAATAACGTATATACTGACACCAATAACGTTCATAACGTCTATAACGTCATTCACAAACTCATTAATAATTCACGAGGAAATCACAAAGAAAAGTCACAAGCGTGTCGTATTTTTATATGTGATAGATATTTCCCTTGATTTACATAAACTTTAACTTTGATTTTCTTGACTTACACAACGTATTCTTTGAAAATTACTTTGCCAATGAACTTACTAGATCGATCGTTTTTGAAGCAATTTAAAACATTCGCAGTGCGTGTTCTATCAGACCTAAAGATACTTGGCTTCGCCTCGTACCTTTATATCTGATAAAACACGGCCGCTCATGTTTTAAATAGTACATAACGTTCATAACATGACGTCTATAATGCAATAATGTCTATAACGCCAATAACGTCTATAACGCCAATATCATTCTCCCTCATTTTGATTATTGTAGTTCTATGTGGGATAATTGCAGAAAAGGTTTACGGGATAAACTTCAAAAATTACAAACTCGAGCAGCTCGAATAATTACTAGGAGCAACTACGAAATACGCTCTCCCCATATTTTAAATAACTTAAATTGGCCGACACTAGAAGATAGGCGAATGAAACAAAAATCCTGTCTAATGTTCAAAGTGTACCAACAAATTAGGCCCATCTTATCTTTCACAGCCATTTAATCGAGCGAATTTAATTCACAGTCATGGTACACGAGGTCATGACTACAATTTTGTTATTCCTAAACCAAACACCAATTTTTTGAAAAATAGTCTCGAATATAACGGAGCAGTGGTATGGAATTCAATACCAATTGAAATTAGGAATTCCACTTCCCTAAAAATATTCAAAAATAAACTGTAGAATTACTTTGTTATGTATATAGCTTTAATTTCTCATTCTCCTTGTAAATATTGTAAATAATTCAAATGTCACGGCACCTGGGAAGATCATCTTATTTTCGATGACAGGCCTCCGTGCCTAAATAAAGTTCACTATCAATAACGTCTATAACGCCAATAACGTCTATAACTGCAATAACGACTATAACGCCAATAACGACTATAACGCCTATAACGCCAATAACGTATATAACGCCAATAACGTCTATAACGCCAATAACGTCTATAACGCCAACAACGCCAATAACGTCTATAACGTCTATAACGCCAATAACGTCTATAACGCCAATAACGACTATAACGCCAATAACGTCTATAACGCCAATAACGACTATAACTCCAATAACGTCAATAACGCCAATAACGTATATAACGCCAATAACGTCTATAACACCAATAACGTCTATAACGTCTATAACGCCAATAACGTCTATAACGCCAATAACGACTATAACTCCAATAACGCCAATAACGCCAATAACGACTATAACGCCAATAACGTCTATAACGCCAATAACGACTATAACGCCAATAACGACTATAACTCCAATAACGCCAATAACGTCTATAACGCCAATAACGTCTATAACGCCAATAACGACTATAACTCCAATAACGTCTATAACGCCAATAACGTCTATAACTGCAATAACGCCAATAACGTCTATAAGGTCTATAACGCCAATAACGACTATAACGCCAATAACGACTATAACGCCTATAACGCCAATAACGTATATAACGCCAATAACGCCAATAACGTCTATAACGCCGATAACGACTATAACTCCAATAACGCCAATAACGACTATAACGCCAATAACGTCTATAACGCCAATAACGACTATAACTCCAATAACGCCAATAACGACTATAACGCCAATAACGTCTATAACGCCAATAACGACTATAACTCCGATAACGCCAATAACGACTATAACGCCAATAACGTCTATAACGCCAATAACGTCTATAACGTCTATAACGCCAATAACGTCTATAACACCGATAACGTCTATAACGCCAATAACGTCTATAACGTCTATAACGCCAATAACGTCTATAACACCAATAACGTCTATAACGCCAATAACGTCTATAACGTCTATAACGCCTATAACACCAATAACGTCTATAACGCCAATAACGTCTATAACGCCAATAACGTCTATAACACCAATAACGTCTATAACGCCAATAACGACTATAACTCCAATAACGTCTATAACGCCAATAACGTCTATAACTGCAATAACGTCTATAACGCCAATAACGTCTATAACTGCAATAACGCCAATAACGTCTATAACGCCAATAACGTCTATAACGCCAATAACGTCTATAACGTCAATAACGACTATAACGCCAATAACGACTATAACTCCAATAACGTCTATAACGCCAATAACTCCAATAACGTCAATAACGTCTATAACGCCAATAACGTCTATAACGCCAATAACGACTATAACTCCAATAACTCCAATAACGTCTACAACGCCAATAACGACTATAACCCCAATAACGACTATAACGTCAATAACGTCTATAACGCCAATAACGACTATAACGACTATAACGCCAATAACGTCTATAACGCCAATAACGACTATAGCTCCAATAACGACTATAACGCCAATAACGACTAGAACGCCAATAACGTCTATAACGCCAATAACGACTATAACGTCAATAACGTCTATAACGCCAATAACGCCAATAACGTCTATAACTGCAATAACGACAATAACGTCTATAACGCTTATAACAGCAATAACCGGTAAACAACAATATATATACCACATAAAGTATATGAACTTATTTTGTCACTGGTAATTAATGACGTCATTTCGGGATATTTATATGGAAATTGACCCGTAATAACGTTTAAGGAGTGGTCACTTCAAATATTGGTGGATAATCGTCAGAAGTGCTGTCGCTATAAAAAGCATACTTTAGCCAACACAATTCACAATAAACAAATATAATCTTGATTAAAAATACTTGCAAACTTATTGGGACTACTGTATATAATTAAAGGAATACAAAATCCCAAACTACACCTACCAGGCTAATACGCAATAATAATACTTTTACTAGCAAACAAAGTATCGTTATTCGTTAACCAGTTTAATGAATATTTCATGACAATATAGACCCCGCTCAATATTTCTCTAGTAATCTATCATCAAGTTTTGTTCTTTCAAGTATACATCCTGGTGATATTAATCTAGCCTTAAACCTTGACAGTAACAAGCTTCATTACTGATGTACCTAATCAATTTATTAACATTGTTTCTCAACCTCTATCAAATTAAAACCCTTATCCTACATTTTTAGCAGTGGTGTCAAGTAGCGAAGTAAATGTACTTCGTTACTGTACTTGAGTACTATTTTTGAGAAGTGAGCATGTAACAAAGTAAACTTTTTCTGGAGTACTTTTACTTGGAACGAAGTTGTTTTATTAAGAAGTAACGTTTTACTTCGTTATTTTCATTTTGCGGCGAAGTATTTCATGATTTTACGTGATTTTTCACGATTTATTTTAATTTTGGGATAGGCAATGGACCCCTACATGCGTCTGGGATCTCTCGTTTGTGGCTTACTATAAGCATTGTTTATTTAATGGTTTCTTAGGGACCGGTCATAAAGTAAAAGGGGGGGGGGCTGGGAAAATCATATATTTGGTGTGTGCACTTTTGGTAGCCCACCCCTTAATAGCTGCACGAACATTGGTGGCCCACCCTTAAATTGGTGCTGAAAAATTATGACCCACCCTTTCAGAAAGGCAAAAGATACCAGCATTCTATGTTTCTGTTGCCAAATAATTCTGTTACAATACTCAATAGCTATTCAAATGGTGCAATTAAAATTCAGGGCCTCTTTTAAGGATGTGTAACTGGAGGGGACATATTTAGCGGGGGACCTGGAGAAGTTCCAGTCGGCAAGTCTGTATCACTGCAGCTACCACCATATATGTGCATGGTTTAACTAATAAGTATACGTCATAGGACAGCAGATTAGGCTGTAACTAGGATTCTGAGACAATCGAGTCGACCACCGAAGGTGGAAGCTTCTAGAGGGGCATGGGGGGCGAAAAGTTTGGATTTCTTGAAGCTCAGATAAGCTATTTCCCACATTTTGAGGAGTTTTCCAACAAAAAATTAACCTTATAAACAGTGACACAATCACTACAGTTACACAGTCTCCCAAATGTAATGCGGTAATTAACATGTGTGTGGTATAGTATTATCATTCACGGATTCACCACACTTCAAATTCTACAGTACTGTATTACATGTATTGGGGTACTTGAAATCAACGCATTCGTCTTCTCAGTGTCACTGAAGAGCAAGATAGGGTGATCTCTTTGGAATATCTTTGCTTGGAAAAACTAAACTACAGTAGAATTTCGTCCTAACACAGGCGGCCCAGACGCGTATCAGTGTATAGTAAATATATCATTATAAAATATATTAAACAATAAAATTTGTAATGAATTTTATATTTTAATTAAAATCATATTTACTTGCCTACTTTGATTGTATGTGATCGTCTTTTATTTCTGAGCGACTTTATATTGGATGCCTGCGACTGTCTTCATAGGTGATAGTATTGAAAGCAAAGGCTAACGATTCCAGTTCTCAAACAGCCGACACAAACAATTTAAATCGAAAAATATCCCCTTCAAATTGCTTTGTTCCCGGTAAAACTTCGCCAGCGTATAGAATAAACATCCATCTTCCAACATACAACGCAATATTAACACGTCCTATAATTTTTGCAATGGATTTTTAGCGAAATGTTTCGAGACTAAAATTCTATGGAACTTAGAAAGCCCGATAATCACTACGGCGCCTGCTTGGCCACCTAGCCTCCTTTACCGTTTGGATTGTCAGGGGGGGTTCAAATAAAAAACACCTATTTTCGGCAACAGCCAGCCAATCAACGCCGCGATACCGACTGTTTACAGTATTTGAAATCTGATATTGCAATTTATCAACAGCAAAACTCTTTCGATCGTATACAGCTCTCTTTCTATTTTATACTATACGATCAATCGATCGAAAGAGTTTTGTTGTTGATAAATTGCAATATCAGATTTCAA